AGACAGCCTACACCCGTGCTCCAGTAGACAGCCTACACCCGTGCTCCAGTAGACAGCCTACACCTGTGCTCCAGTAGACAGCCTACACCCGTGCTCTAGTAGACAGACAGCCTACACCTGTGCTCCAGTTAGACAGCCTACACCTGTGCTCCAGTAGACAGCCTACACCTGTGCTCCAGTAGACAGCCTATACCTGTGCTCCAGTTAGACAGCCTACACCTGTGCTCCAGTAGACAGCCTACACCCGTGCTCCAGTAGACAGCCTATACCTGTGCTCCAGTTAGACAGCCTATACCCGTGCTCCAGTAGACAGCCTATACCTGTGCTCCAGTTAGACAGCCTATACCCGTGCTCCAGTAGACAGCCTACACCCGTACACACACTGGCAGCTCTAAATGAATTCAGTGGGTTTTTAAAAAGAACACAAGAAGTTGGGAGGGCAGAGTAGTAGTGTATATAGGAAATGAATGGGGATGGATTTGTTCAAAATACATCGTATGCATGTGTGAAACTTTCAATCAAACAATTATTTAAACTTGTTTACTTCAGTCGGATTTTCACTTTGGAGTTAGACATTTGCCAGCCAGCCAGAATGTCAGCTCCAGATGGGTAGCAGGTCTCACAGACATACCTTGCTGCATGGAGCGCACCAGTATATGAGAGCCAGGAAGGGCAGTCCAATGGCAACCGCGAGGACCACGAGAAACTTGACTGCCATGGTCTGCTGCCGTAACCCAGAGAGGTTCTCATACCAGATGGAGAGGAGTTGTTGCTGGCAGTTGGGATGGGCTACAAACTGGTGATGAGGCAGCACAAACGAAGTTTGGTTAGAGACAGACAAAACATGGGCTCCTTTCTGGAGTCCAATACTGCTTTCTATGCTTTCTCAAGAAAAACATGGTTAGAAATAAAGACATCCATCCAACAGGTAGCAATGAGAACAGCACTGAGTTCTTCTATAGTATACAGATTCAGATATTTCTGTTGGTCAGATCTCTCCTGTGACTGTCAGGCTGTCTTTCAAAGCACAAAAAATGTTTGAGGTTTTATCATTAGAAAAAGATTCTCAAGTATTTTTGCACAAGTGCTTTTATGAATTTTATATACTTCTTTTAAGCAAGAAAGAACAAAATTAAGGCCATCCTAGCTTTTGTGGAAATGTTTGTTTATAAAGATTTGTTTTTCAGTGTGTGTTTGTGTACACATGTGCTTGTGCACACTTGTGCATGCATGTGTATCTATGGATGCATTTAACCATACGTGTGCGTACATGCATCCATGAGTCCACCATACCTTCAGAAGTCAGAAGAGGGAGGGCATCAGAGCCCCTAGAAGCTGGAGTGCAGGCAATTCGTGAGCCATCTGATATGGTGTTAAGAACTGCACTTGACTATTCTGTAAAATAGTGTGTGCTCTTAACTGCTGAGCCATCTCTTCAGCAAACACATCTTCCCTTCACTGATCTAGAATGGCGTGCTCCTACAGAGGTAGCATTCTGCACCTGTATCAACTCTACCCATTCAGCTTCACTGGGAGTCCCTGCTATCTCCCAGTTATAATCTTTCAATTATAACATTTTCCAGAATTCATTATTCTCACATATTCAATTTGAATAGTGTGTTTTCATTGTTTTTTATTATTTATATAAGAGTTAACCCTAGTCAATATACAAACAAGCAATCTTCTAAAATAAATTTTCATAAGGAAAAAGATCAGGTTATGTAAGAAAACAAAAAACTTCAGGTGAGTCTTAAGGAAAGTTCATCCTAAGACATGCAAGCAAAGCCTGCAGTTCATCTGTTCGGAATGGCGAAGCTTGAGTCACTGTGCGGGGAGTGAACCCCCTCTCTGCACACTGTGGGGAGGAGTGAGCTCTCTCTCTGAACACTATGGGGGGAGTGAACCCCCTCTCTGTACACTGTGGGGAGGAGTGAACCGCCCCTCTCTGTATGCTGTGGGGAGGATCTCTCTCTCTCTCTCTCTCTCTCTCTCTCTCTCTCTCTCTCTCTCTCCACACTGTGGGGAGGAGTGAGGTCTCTCTCTGCATGCTGTAGGGAAGAGTGAGCTCTCTCTCTCTCTCTCTCTCTCTCTCTCTCTCTCTCTCTC